CACAAGTAAGATCATTTTGTGTATCTGAATCTGTATTTATATTTTAGAAAGACTTGCTCCTGCTTCCTTTTTTTGAGACAGCCTGCATTTTATTTTCACTCAAAAGTCATTCATTTGACATTTGAGCACGTTTGCCTATACTGATTTTCACCAATGTGGCCTCAGGCTGACCTGGGAATATGGAAACTACACACATCTTATGTAGAGATCAAATTGGCTTTCACCTGTCATCTTAATAGTTCCAAAGTAAAGTTGTGGTGCCTCTTCATAGATGATGGACATGCAGATTAGTGGATAGTAGACTGTAGTGGATATATTTGAACAAACAGGTGGTGGCATCTGATTCTTGTCCTTATTCCACCATTCATTAATTTACTCTTCTAGTGTGAAAGAGAAGGTAGATGAACAATAAGTGAGAAGATACACGTGGCGTTCCAGGAGTTGTAATAGTGGAAGTCCTGTTAGGGTGTGGGCTTCAGTACATGTCAATCTAGCTAATCTTCATGAAAGCATGAATAACCCCAATGAGGTCCCATCTCGTCACGCCTGTTAAGACAATAAAAATATAATTTAAAACTATTTTATACAGAAAAAAATAGTTGCAGATAGAAGTCTGCAAAAGCAAAATATGGATTGTCTCTCAAAATGGATGGAGAAATATCAAAACACAGTAAAGCAATATTATTTGGGTAGTTGTTAGCCTGGATTTCAGCTACAGTGAATAAGATTGTAAGGATTAGAGATAGACCTCTATAAGGAATTCAGAATTAACTACAAAATATAGCCAATGCTTATTTATCTCATGATTTTATATAATGTCGATTTTGATAGGACTCTGTTAACAAAAAGAAAAGAAATACGATGAAATCCTGAGCAGTTAGTGTAAAAAAACTACTTAATAGATAGCTGTATTAAACAGCCAGATTTTAGGCAATTTCCCAAAATCAAGGAGGTTCAAACATTACATACCTTTCAGGCAAGGCATTGTAGGCAATGGGAGCAGGCACAGAGAAGGGGTGTTGTGTGTTGTCCCCACCATTCTATATAATAAAACAACATCAAGGCAGGAAATTTGGAACTGAGGTATTGATAAATTATAATACGTAATTATAATAGGTGAAAGCTGTTTTTCTTTAAAAAAAATAATTCAGGTTCTTTTATACATATAGTTAGTTTTTTAGCTAGGCCATTTGTTTTCATTCACATTGAAAAACTACTAGAAAATGCAAGGCGAGTTCTTAGCTGTTTCAACCTTGGGAAATATCATGATAAATGCCATGATTGACTGTCACAAGAACTTGTTTTTACTGTTTCCATCCAGTATTGGTAGGCTATGACGTTTTAGTTTTTTATTTCTCAGTGACTGGAAACTTTGCATGCAATATACAAATACACACACACACACACACACACACATTCTGATTTGGTGGATGGCAATGAAAGGAATCTGAAAAGAGAATAACAGCATGTCCACAGTGATAATTGTGTAAATATGTGTAAATATGCTCAGCAATAGTAACAGTGGAACAAGAAGTATGCTGGAATAAGCAACCCAGTTGCAAATTTTGGAATCACTGAACAGTAATGGACTATGACCTATTTGCTGTTTGGACATGTATGTTTTGGATAAGTATCTATAGTCTGTTCACCAAAAAGAACAGCTGTTCATTGCAAAGGCAAAAGTACAAGAACCCATTTTCATGCCACGTACACAGAGACACAGACACACTATACTGTAACAGGGTTAAGCAATTTGGTGCCATTGATGTTTTTTGACTGCAACTTTCATCCACCCTGGTCAGCACAGCTAATGCCAAAAGACCATAGCAGTTGTTTACTATTCATGGAGCAAACTCTGATGCTGAGGATTCAGTCCTGGGACATCTGTTATCAAGGGCAATGAGAAAGGTTACCATTGCAATATTTCCTCTAAGCACCAACATGCCTACGTAGAATTAGATAATAGTCATTTATGTTAGGACTTGTTTGTGGAACTGGCTACTACAGACAAATGTAGTAGAAAAAGGTATCACTAAAGCTAGCAAGATATTTCAGGATTTTCATGCCTGCAGATAGTTTCAATTATTTAAAACTTTGTTAATGAGGACAAAATCACATATCTTCAGAATCAAGGTGACTTGAACTGAGACAAGAGACTAATTTTAATTAATTAGTTGAATGATTAATATAGCAGACTAGAGAGACCAATGTATTATTTAAAAGTATATGATATTGTTTTTTTGTTTTTATAAATCACATACATTAAAAACCTAATATACTTTGTTTTAGCATATGAATAATGAAAAAGAAAAAAATTAAATACCTTTCATGATGCTCTTAATAATTTCTTAAGTCTTGAACTTTCACTATCATGAAAAGAATAGATTCATTCCTATGACAGCTTATTGTAAAAGTATAAGAGATTAATGATTTATGATGATACTGTGCTAAGTGCAGAGAAGTCTGAAATTTTTAACTGTGAGTGGCATATTTTAAATGAATAGTAAAAATTATTTCACTTTAGAAACAGTGATGCATAAAACCAGTTTTATATCTTGGTGAACAATGGTAATATCATCATATAATGCACTTGGGGAAAATGCTAATGAATCATATTCTGAGCAATTAGGATTACATTTTAATCTTTTTTTAAAAAATGAAATAAATGCTTTAGTTATTCTGTCATTGTTTTAAGTTACAGCTTAATGAAAAGAAATCATTTGCAAAAGTCTGCAACAAATCTCATGAAAATTAGTATGTGCTGTGTAGCACATTCATGTGGTCGGCTTCGGTGTTCAGAAACACCTAGCTGTAAACACAGTGGTCTTACAGATATTTCTGTTCCAAAGTGTACTTTTGATGGTGAGAAGCTGTAACTTGCTAAATTCTGAGGTTTTTCTTCAACAAAAACTATTCTATATACAGACGGACTTCTTCCAGTACTGTGGTCTGCAAGTCTCATTGAAAATAGTTTCAAATGCAATATACCTTATGCAGTTTATATATCCAGCCCAATCCATATTTTAGGCTTTAAACCCTTTCCCTTTTTTAAAAAAGAACAAATCACAGACAAACTCATATCACTTGGAAAAAAATATTTTAATGTCTTACAAAGCAAAGGCAAGCTTGAAATAACAGTTCAAAATGCCTAAAAACACTCACACTGGTATCACATGGTTATATTTGATCAATTCCAGTGACCAAGTTCAGTTTGGTTTCAGGAGCTCAAGTGTTTTGGGGGTGTCAAATCAAGATCAGCAAATAAGGAGTAATGATAACCCAATTCAGTCATACTTTTCTTCTCAATTTATGAGCAGATTCAGTGCTTGTCTATTCAATGCTCTTTGTTGGCACAAGGATTTTGAAATATTGGTGTTCACTTATATAGTAACCTGTATCAGTGCTCTTCATGGAATAGGATGTTATCATTGCAGATTTCAGCACATTATTCACATTCTGTCCATCTCAGATTTTAAAAGGATAGAATGTTAGTGCACCAATTATTCTTAAACTTGGCATAGTTCATTAGCTTCTAGATTTGCTTTTTAAATATATCTATTTCAGTAGGGAAAATATGTACAGTTATTTATGTTTACCTATGCTAGATTGTGGGAGACAGCTCATTTTCTTTCTTGGGCTCTATCCGTTGTTGGACTGAACTTCATGTAGAGTCACCCAAATCTAGCTGCTTCCAGGCATCCAGATATGACCCTTAAGCTGGCTCAGGGGATCTCTGCATTAAGCATTGGATTATTGTTTAGAACCTATTTTCAAGGAATCCTATTGAAATAAATAGTTCAGATCTCACAGAGTTATGCCGATTTATTCCACTGGCATTACTCAGATACATACCCAGATCACTGTATATCTGTTGGCTTGTAGATCATTACTAATATGATGCAGTTCAGCAAGTTTGTTAGTTAAAGTGAAGATTGCGACTGTAAATTATGTTAAATGCTAGCATTCTGGTTTAATGAATAGTAAATAAAGCTGCCCTGGAAAGTGTGTGTGTGTATGTGTATGCATGCACGCTGATGAATACATTGTAGTAGTAGTATATGAATTCATTTGTAAATTATTTTAGATTCCTACTACAGCTATTTGATAAAAAAAATCTAATTGAAACAACCTGTGATATGCAAATATAGCTTGTTTATATTGTAGAATATCAATTTGCAGAGAACACGGATCTAGATACATTTTTGAGATGGGCTGGCTGGTGACTTTAAATAGATTTAATGTCACGTTTTCCATGGTATGGTTAAATGATATTTTATGGCAGGTTGCAGTTGTGTTAGCTTGCATTAGGCCTATAAGAAGATTAAAACACAGCTTTATGACTAATGCATATTTGAGTTTTATGTTTTATAGAAATGCATGCAGATATTTTTATTGATAGTATTAAGGAACTGATAGTAACTAGAACTAATTAAATAGCCTTAAAGCATGTACGCTAGTTCCTAAGCCATAGCATTATAGCTTTGATTTAGTTACATCATAAACCTGTTAGATTTGTATCAATGCCTGATGAAGAAAAAGTTAATTAATGTTTTTTTTATTTGGAAAACAGTCCTTTTTAACAATCAGTTATTTGACACAAGAAAGAAAGCAGTTTTGATACAGGTCTTTTATCTAATACGCAGTTGGTTAGAGGACACTGAATTACAAAGTTAAATATTGCTAGCTTTGCAAGCAAGGAACTAGATTGTAGTAAATGAAAATAAAAAGTGTGTGAAACTGACAATATATGAAATAGCTGATGTAAGGAAGACATTGTATATTTTGAATTGCATTATTACATAGAACATTCTGGTTTGCATCTATAAAGATGAGGTCCAGATTAATGAACATCATTCTAGCTTTCCTTCGATTAGTTGACCATTAAATATATTTGTACCCTGCAGTGATATTACGCACTTCACTTCTGAACTTGTTAGAGTCCCCGAATTAAAGCAATCTAGAAAGGATCAGACCTGATTTCTGCCTTTTCTTTTTTTTAGGTGACTTTTACGAAGAGGAAATTTGGGTTAATGAAGAAGGCTTATGAGTTGAGTGTTCTGTGCGACTGTGAAATTGCTCTCATAATCTTCAACAGCACCAATAAACTCTTCCAGTATGCCAGCACTGATATGGACAAGGTGTTGCTGAAGTATACAGAATACAATGAGCCACATGAGAGTCGAACGAATTCAGATATTGTTGAGGTAAGAATTATAGTGAGTAAGGAGTTTTCCCTATAATATACTATACTAGTTTGAAACTGATTTCATTTTCTGTGTGATGATTACCTGAAGTAGTTCAATTCATGATAAAGCCCTCTCCTAGTTTAGTTGCATTCTTTTTGTTAGTTCATTTGGCTTCTGTTTTATATTTGTAAAAGAATTTACTTCTCTTAAAATGCAGAAACTTTCCATTCTTATTAAAATACAGTCTTTTATAAAACCATGGATTCATATTTAAAGACATGTCACCCAATATATTCTGTAATGCTCTGGCAAGTGAAATATAATTTATGAGTCTAACCATGCAAGCAAAGGAAGCTTTTGGTATATTTACCTCATACATGTTCCTTAATATAACTTGATCAGTATATTATTTTGTTGCTTTACAGAGAATAATAGCATTGATTTCCAAATGTGTTCTAATTTTTTGCTTGCTGCCATCAATTCACTTTGGTCTCTTATGACTGTGTCTTAAACAAATACGTAAACAGAGAGTTGAGCCACCTCGGCCAGCCATAAGATTCTTAAACAAATGCATACTTCACTGTAACGATCTTAAGGAATTTTGCTGCTGATTTCAGTGGAGACAGAGTTTAAGTGCATGACTGTCTGGTGGCTACTTGTATTTCTGATTCTGCGCTTTAATGCAAATACAGATGTGCATAATCCTATAAAAAGTAAAAATAAGTGAAATGTTTACCCATTCCTTTACTGAAGTACGTGTACCAACAGTGATAGCATTTGGTTGATCTATGACCAAGGTAGCATTAAGGCTTGTCCAGATCCCATATGTTTTGGAGTTTCCATCCAAACTTCCAAAAATCCCAATGCAAATACAACGTAATATTCTATGTCTTATGTCTACTAAATTCAGAGAGAATGTGCTTAAGCAATAAGAGTAACTTCTAAAAAATTAAGTGATTATCAGTGATTAGGTAAAGTTGAATAAATTTAGTTTACACTTTCAGTAAACATCTGGTAGAAAAAGGATATGAATAATTACTGGTTATAGCCCTTCCTATGGATGTTTAGAAACTATTCTTAACATTTACAGCAGACCATTAAAATACATTTATCTTGTGCCTTTCTTTCCTTTGTTTTTGATAAAAAACAAATAAGAGAAGATTCTACTTGTGGAATTCCTTGATAAAAGCTTATTAATAAAACAATACGATCTCTCTTGATGGAGTAGATCACTTTGATCTAACAGGAATCCTATCTTGCCCACCTTGCATTTCCCTGTGGCTTGACATGTTCTATTATGAATTCTTTGACTGCACAAGTTTGCCATCTCCATCCCTTGTTTCTGCTTTATGACCAGTTAAAGAAATCCCTTTCATAAAAGGTGTTTATGGCACTACAAAGAATTGTTACTATTGTGTGAAACACCTAGTCGATCAGAAATACTGAAGTTAGTTATACTGAATAGTTTCAAAATAGAAGTGCAGGTGCAGAAACAAAACATGCCACCATACATGGGGAGCAATTGTAGAATTATTAATATGTTCTACTCTTCATTGTTACAGGATATTTCATGAAACATTTTTTGCAAACTTCCTACTTAAATAAACAAACAGCAACAAAAAGTCCCTAGAACAGAACAAAAATCACTTTAAGCTATAAAATAGAAGTTTTGCTCCTTAAAATCCCTACACTAGATCTAGATTGGTTCTCCTAGACTTCTTGAATTCTAATAATCTCCCCCTACCTGTTACAGAAATATTTGATGCAGAGATTCTTTCATTTTTTATTTTATTTTCTTGCTTCCCTCTAGCATCAGATACCCTGTCACAGCTACTGCAGGCTGTGTGAATTTTAATGCTGCAGACAAGCCCTATTTGTGGATGTTCCCCCACAATTATTGGATAATGTTTTCTTAGTGATAACTCCAACTACTTTTCTTTATGGCAGGGTTCTTCAACCTTGGCGACTTGAAGATGTGTGGACTTCAACTCCCAGAATTACCCCAGCCAGCTGGCTGGGTAATTCTGGGAGTTGAAGTCCACACATCTTCAAGTCGCCAAGGTTGAGGAACCCTGCTTTATGGTACTCTTTATGGTTTTGTCTGAAGCTGATGGAATTTTTGGTTTCTAAGGGGAAAAAATGGTTAAATGTGAGAAGTAAAGATGTTGGGAAAAGGCCATGGATAAACAGAAGTACTTCCTGAGAAAAGATGTATGTTATCCTTACTTAGTGGCAAATGTATAATACACACTTCTGTGTGTCTGTAGCTGTGGCTGTTTATTAATTTATGTCAGCAAAAGTTTTGGACTCTTTATTACCAAAAAAGCAGTAGTTGTAGGAACACATTGGCGATCGTTTTAGAATATTTAAATAGTTAAGCAGTAATCACACAAAAGAGATACAAAAGCCTTAGTGTATTGTTCTTTACCATATGGCTTGGTAGCTGCTAAAATAGCTTACTAACTTGAAAGGATGTGATTTTCTATATTCAGACTGAAGTATGGAGTGCAGAGGTCATTCCGGATTCAGCACTGTTTCAGGGTCAGAGGAAATAGTTCTGCAGTGTGTGGGGGTGTTTAGGGAAAAAAAGAATCTTTACATTAGCCAAAAAAATCTTCAGTATAATTATATTGTTTTACTTGATAATTAGCATCACTGTTGCCAGTACAATGAAGCAAGAAAACAAAAGCTGAAGAGGCAGGCAGCTTTGCACACAGAAAGTATCTGAGTACATGTCTTGGTGTAGAACAAAGAATTGTCATCTTTTCAATATTTAAATACATCAGTTAAAGATGTATTTAAAGAGAAAACTCTGTACTGCCAATCCCAGGGTTGGATACAAACTTGGGTTGCAGTTCTATGGCTGTTAGGCTAACATATTAAGAGCTGTACTATTACAGATTTCTCCCTCCAAGACAAAAAATGGAACCCAGATTTTTGAGGGTAATCAGTTGCTGATTTTCCCCTTCTGCTTCCCTCTCCAGCTTTAAGGCTGACCCTGTCCAAGTGGGGTTGGGGTGATAGGCAGAAAGGAGGGTGGGATATTTTTCTACCATAGCTATAGCCTGGAAAAAACGTATGTGTGGCCTGGCCTAAGCATGTTCACTGCCATTGTGGAAGAGATCTGTCTAAGGAAAAGGAACCAACAGGAAGCACAGTGAAGATTATTTCTTCATTGCTGCCTTGCCAGTTGAAATTAGAAGCTCAGCCTTATCAGGATGCTACAATTGCGCTTTAGGTTTGTTCTGTCAATTATACTTAAGACTGAGCCTTTTAAGGCAACTTGCATCATCAAATAAAGGGACTATTCTTCACATTAAGAATGTGGTATTTTTCTTGTGCAGGGTGGATTTTTTATTTTTAGTTCTTTTTCAAGGCAGCAGAAATTTGCTCACCAGTGTGGTGGTATTTATAAAATGGATCACTTTCATCTTGTGATTATTTAACTGGCCTTCTGCATTCTTACAGATAAACATTTTATATCAATAGGTTTAATTTCTGTAGGATTCAAGTGGCTAAATGCATACATGCTGATCAGCCTGTGAATGTCATCTATTTCTAAAGTATTAAATTGATAATTTAGTGTGAACAGTTTAATAGAATGGCCTTGTGGGGTGTCTTTGTGCAAGTCCACTGCAAACCACATGTATGGGAACTGCACATAGGGATTAGGCATAAACAACAATAAATATGTTTTTAATTGTCTGGTTCCAAGCTCAGTTGTTCCCAACAAATAGGTCTGTCAATATCCATATTTTTTTTATTAAACCTATTTTTTATTATAACGGCACAAGAATGACCCAGCTTTTCAATTATCCAGAACTCTTAATCAGTACTCCACAAAAGGCAAGGAATGAGAAAAATGCAGGAAAGTTCAGAATTTAGGCTAGATGTTGCAGATATAGGGTCTACAGTTCAAAGATTATTTACTTAGCATATTTATTGGGCCACCCATCTATCAAGGCACTCCAAACAAAAATAAAAATAGAATGAAAGTCACAATCCATTACAGAGAAAAAATACAATTTGTGGCCCATAAATAGATCTCAATAACAACATAACTGATATGTCCATGCCCACACCACAGCTCCCTTGACGTCTTAACAGCCAGGTCTTCATAGCCTTCCAGAAGGCCAGCAGGGTCAGGACTGTCGATATCTTGGGGGAGACTGTCCATAAGAGAGGCAGCATGATGGAGAAGGCACACAAGGGGCTCACCAAGTGACATTGCTTCACCAATGCGACTCAAACCACGCCCACTCTGCCTGATCTGGTGAGATGGCAGAAACCTTCGGAAAAGGTGATCTGGCCTCATGTCAGATAGGGTTGTAAAGGTGACAATCAATACCTGGAATTGTACACCGAAATCTACTAGGAGCCAGCACAACTTATGTAGCAGCAGTGTTAAGTGGGCATACTATGGATCACCCAATACTGCACATGCTGCTGCATTCTGGACCATTTGAAGCTTCTGAATGCTGTACAGACCCATGAGTATGGAACATGGTGAAACAGACTGACTCCAGGTTGGGAAAGAAGTGCAACAAAGCTGTATACTCGCCCCTTATTTTTTCAGCCTATACGCTGAATATATATTATGGGAAGCTGGACTGGAAGATGAGTATGGTTTTAAAATTGGAGGAAGAAACATCAATAACCTGCACTATGCTGATTACACTACCCTGATAGCCGAAAATGCAAAGGATCTGCAGGCTCTAGTAATAAAAATTAAGGAGCAAAGTGAAAAAAAGGGACTAAAATTAAATATATATATTAAAAAAACCAAACTAATAACAACAGGTAAAACAACTAACCGTAAAACTGGCAATGAAGACATTGAAGTGGTGGATAGCTTCTACCTTTTAGGATCGACCATGAACAGTAAAGGAACAAACAGTCAAGAAATACGCCGCAGACTAGAATTTGGTAGACCAGCCATGAAGGCCTTGGAAAAGATATTCAAATGCTGTGATGTGTCTGTACCTACACAGATCAGAATCATGCAAGCCATGGTATTC